AGAAGGATAGAGATTGGCTAGGGGGGGGGGGGGTGGCAAAAAAAAAGGAAACACAAAAACGATAAACAAACACATGCCTCACCCCCTCTCCTGGGACTCTATGACCCTCCGGAGCCTATGTGGCTTCTGGGCTCCCCCCCAGGAATGGGGATGCGGTCTCGGAGACCTTCCGGAGGCGAGGCGAGGAGCCTAGGCCCGAAATTATTCGGATAGCTCCCCATTTTTTACATCACATGACTTTTTGAATCCCCTTTCGTGGCTCTTTAATTCAAGGAAACCAAACAAATATTTTGTTCCTGGAGCCGACAACTGAAGTTCGCGACATCGAATGGCATACGAAACATCCAAGTGCCAATGAAATGCAGTGCATGCTCACATTTTTTAAAAACATGAGAAACTCCATGTGAGGATACATGATAATCTTTGGAATATTTTAGGCATGAGCAGATGGCAGATATGCGGTATGCAAACATGTGTATGATTAGTTGCAAGCCCCTAATCACATTTTTTAGTACTTGAGTAAAAAAAAAAAGAAGTCCCAGATTTGCGCATTCTTCGTTAAAGTTGAAGTGTATTTACCACAGGATTGATACATAGAAAATAGGGCAACAGGTGCCGAGGATTTAAGGATTTCTGTTAAGAATTTGTAATTTGTAGTCAGGGATTTGTATGGGGAATAACAAGACAAGTGGATTTGAGAGTTCCTCTTATAGAAGCAAAAGATATTCACTCATTAAAGTCGGTGTGGTGAGGGCTTGTAAGAATGGATATTATACGAGAGTGGGACAGTTGTCGTGCAACTTCGTAATTCATGCAGTAATGGATTCTATGAGGAAAATGCAGGGCCAATTATTAAAGACTTCCTCCTCACAATTGACAGGAAAATGCGGAAAATTGAGGTGATTTCGATTCTGGCATTAAAGAGTAACCTTTGGTGTTGTTGGATACGAAGAGTATGGAGAAAAAACATGCCAAATACAATTTTCATTTCGCATTTATGCAACAGACACTCCTAAAAATATTTTACTGCATAAGTGTGGAATGCAAGCGTTATACGAACCCTGAAACAAATAATAACTTCTTAATAAGGCCGCTGGGAGAACAAAAAACCTTTGTTCCTATGAAAGGAATGGAATTGCTGCTTCTCCGCAATAAAGGTACCAGAGAAATACAATTGACTTGAGAAATGGAAGCTCCGGTTCCTTGCAAGTGTTTCTTTTGATCCCATAGAAATTCATTAGAGTCAACAGAAGCTTCAGTTCTCTCTTCATACGGAATTGAATACGCTGTAAATTTATGACTGACTTCTCAAGTCTGGGGCTTCGCTTATATGTAAGCCAGCCCCTTATGCATAATATTCCCCCGGCCTCCAATACATGCGTGCTCCAAAGAGGTTAACAGTTTTGAAATTACTGAAGTATCTATGTATATATGTGTATGCATATAATCCTACACTGCTATCTGCTCATTCATGCCCATGCAAGTTGGAGTATGGTCCCATGAGTTTTCTCTGAAGGTGTTCATGGTTGTGAACTGCCAAATGCTGCAGTGCTACCAGTACATTTACCGAACTTCTCAAAAACTAAACCCTGTAGTATTCATATGAGCCATAGTCTAAACTCCTTAAAAGGGGTTATATAGGGGATTATATAGGGGACTATTATAGGGGTTATTAAGGGGGATACTAGGAGTTTAGACTATAGTTCATATAATCCCCGTGTCCATTTCATTTTCGTTTTCTTGTCCACTTGATTCTCCACTGTTACCCTAGACCCATGTCCTTCTAAATCCCATATAGAACCCATATATAACCTACACAGGCCCTACACCCTAAACCCTAAATCCTAGACCCTAAACCCTAAACTCTAAATCCTAGAACCTAAACCCTGACCCCCTTTTCCAGTCCTCCGCATCGCGGAGCAGCGCCACCAGCCGTACTGTCCGGTCGGTCACTGCGTCCTCGTCCGCTTCGATGCCCTGCTGGATTCCCTGGGGTCAAGGGTTTAGGGTCAAGGGGATAATGGGCTCATTTTAGGGATAATGGAAGAGAAAATGGAAAGTATTGGGATTATAAGGGGGTTATATTATAAGGGTTATAGGGGTTCTAGGGTATACATTTGTCGAGTTCAGGGTTTAAGGTTTAAGCTTCCGGGGTTTAGGGTTTGTAGGGTGTAGGGTCCAGGATAAGAAACGCGTGCAAAGAGCCCCCAAAGTGTTTTTGGGGTCCACACTTACTTCAAGAGCATCATACGAGCTGAAGTCTAAACTCCTTGTATCCATCTTAATAACCGTAAACCCTAAATCCTAAACCCTAAACCCTGAATCCTAAACCCTGTATCCTAAACCCTATATAAGCCCCTTCAAGGAGCTTAGCCTATAGCTCTTACAGGAACCTGAGCTTGCACAAGTCTACCCTGCACTGTGCGGCCAAGGTGGCCCTGACGGATGAACGCCTACTTGGCCTCTGAGGGTTTCAGGGTTTAGGGTTTAGGATTCAGGGTTTAGGGGGTTTAGGGTTCAGGGTTTAGGGCTTATAGAACCAGAGACCGGCCACTAATCGTTTTGTGCTTAACATGGGTTCCACTGCACGCCGACGCCCATGAGTTATTCTTGTTAGCCCAACACCTGTTCCTATATTATTCTTGTTATTACTATCAGTATTGTATTTCCTGAGCCCTTAGCTATATAAACCCTCATCCCTAAACCCTAAACCCTGAACCCTAAGCCCTAAACCCTGAACCCTAAACCCTTATTATGAGTACTGCCAGCTTGTCTTTGGAACTGAGTACCTGAACCCCAAAAGTATGTAGAATAATGGCCCTTTGGGCTGTTTTAGGGATTTTGGGCTATTACTTAAACTGCTTTCTGGGTGCAGGCACACCCAAAACTCTTAAGAGCCCGCAAAGAGGCCAGGGATCAGCTTCTAGAGACCCGTCCGCAGCGTCAGCAGACTGCCAGCGCAGGGGAGCTGTCTTTGGCCTGGTTCAGGCTTTACGTACGGCTTGGAGTTGTGAGAGGGGTATGGGGTTTAGGGTTTAGGGCTAAAGGAATGAAAGGTATATCTGTATGTGACCATCTATGCAGCTTGCGCTCATGCCCAATTTGTTTTGTTGCAGGGCTTGCTTTCAGGTGAAT